CGCCGCAGCCGCACCGCCCCCTGCGCCGCCACGAGAATCCAGCCTCATCCTCTTAGGCGCCGGCGAGTCCTCCCCGGGGGGCTCCTGTTTGATGGTGACGCGGCTCGCCCCAGCGCTTTTGCCTTTCTCGCGGTCCGGCCTGGCCTCGGCTTCGCCGCCGTAGCCGCTGTCGGTGTCCGTGTCGTTTTCGGCTGCGAGCTCGGCGCTTGGCTGAGTCCGCTGTATGACCGGAACGCAGTGGGCGAGGGGCTCCAGCTTCTGCCCAGCGCGCTCCAGGCAGGGGGCTGCTGCGGACCCGGCGAAACGAGGGCGCGCCTGTGCCTTTGCTCAGAGGGACCTGTTGAGTCAACAGCTGAGGGGTGGGCAAGAACTGGGTGGCCACCGCGTGCAAGTGGTTGATCAGCTGGATACACCGCGGCTCCCTGGGCGTCCAGCTCTCAAACCGGGAGAGGTATTGCAAGACTTCTTTGGCGCATGTTTGAAATCCCGAGTGGAACGCATCCAAGTCGGACTGAATGGGCGATTTCAGAGATCGCTCCCCTAGGATGAAGAGGGGGTGGGGGTGGAGGACAGAGGAATGGAGGCAAGGAAAAAAAAAAAAACCCCACCGACGTTAAAACATCTGCTTATCACGTGGGCCCTACATTGACTAAAGTGATCTCGGTTTTTCCTCTGTATTCGAGTGATATAATCCACCGGTTGCAAGGGGGTGGGGGTGGTGGCGGGGGTGGAGAGCAGGGGGGCGCTCTACTCCCAGCTGAAAAACTAAAGTGGAGAGAGGGTGCAACCGCCACTTTAAATAAACCACCGACGTTAAAACATCTGCTTATCACGTGGGCCCTACATTGACTAAAGTGATCTCGGTTTTTCCTCTGTATTCGAGTGATATAATCCACCGGTTGCAAGGGGGTGGGGGTGGTGGCGGGGGTGGAGAGCAGGGGGGCGCTCTACTCCCAGCTGAAAAACTAAAGTGGAGAGAGGGTGCAACCGCCACTTTAAATAAAAATCTGATTCCTCTGAGTTGTGCTGAAAGCCTCTAGGATGCTTCGGGAAATGGGCACTTTCCAATGAAGAGAAAATATAAGCAATTTCACAAATGAGAATGAGCCCGTGGGACCACGGAAGTGGGGTGGGGGAAGAGTCCTATCACTGCTCTTCTGTGGGCTTCCAGGCTTCATCAGGGTGGGTTGGCCTCCCAGAACTGACTTACCATTCTGTAAAGCAATTATCTTCTGATGCTGCTGCTCGGTTAAGGCTGTTAAAGCTTTTAAGTGTTTCAAAGTTAATTCCAAGACTACCGCTTTCTCCAGATGCCCCAGAGTCTGCAGTGGTGCAAAAGAGAATGGGGTACTTGGTTACTTAAAAACACATTTGGCTTGATTGGCTCTCCATTCAGCACAGCAACTTAAGCAAACACTTTGAAAGTATTATTCCTATACTTCTTGAGCTTTCCACAAGACAGGTTATAAACGATTTCTTGCCTTCACAGTTGTGAGCACCTACTCTTGAGTTTGTGAGAAACTCTACACTATAGAACAAGTTGTAAGGCATCTGATATTTACATTTATTCTTATATGTCTGGGAGTAGTACCAGGCTATTAACGCCCTTGGAGAGTAGCAAAGAAGGAAAATGTGCATCTTACTGTCAACTTCAGATGTTCAGGCAGTAAATCTTTCAGCTGAGCAATGCATTCATTAATTCGGTCTCTTCGTTTCTTTTCTATTAATCTGTGTGGTAATTTGTAGGTATCCTTAATATATGAGAGTCATGGAAGAGAGAAAACAATAACATAAACATTCATTTACTAGATATAACAATATCCCCTCACCCGCCAAAAAAACACATATGTGATAAACTGCCCAAGGAACCTCTTTCCTCTGGACTGTTCTGAAATGCAATTTAAATTCAGGTATGATGTTTAATCCCCCCTGAGAGTATCCAGCAAACCACTTAAAATTCACAGTTGGGGAAGCTCAAGGGCTGGAATATATTTGCGGGCAGAGCTTAGCTGTGAAATCAATGGCCCTAATTAACTATCCAGGCAGGTTATGGGGGAACATCGGAAACTTACTCTTACCTTGCTATCATCTCGCTTCATGCTCCTTTTGGGTTTGCACATATACAAAGAGGAATAGTCCAGTCTGCAAAACAGAAATCAGCATCAGGCACCCATTCGGGAGGGGCTCTGCCCTCGCCCGCTTCATATCACTTTCTGGAGAAGAGAAAATATCAAACTGAAGCCCAGACAGATATTCTCAAGGGTGCGTGCACCTTACCCTATAAAATCTCTATGTTCCAGTAACTGTCTCTCTTGCAAATGAGGAATTCCTTCGTCCATGTTCAATCGTTGTCCGTTTCCTCTGTTTCGATTTTTGGGGTTCTGTTCTATAATCTGTGGGATGGTAGCTTTGGGAGATCTTGGGGGGATCTGTGCGTCCCCAGTCTCTTTCTCTCTCTCTCCCTCTTCAGTGCAGTGTTGAAAGTGTGAAGCAGTTGGTTCCCCCCCTCCCACCGCGCTCGCTCTCTATAGCACACACACGCACACACACGCACGCACACTCGCGTCGGCCCCACTGCGCTGGTAGTTTGCTCTCACTCCGGGCAGTGTTTGGCCACAGGGCACGCGCGTCGCCGGCCAGACCAGCACCCAGCTCACGTGCGGAACGTACCATCCGCGGTCCAGCCCGGAGGGGGGCGGGGGAGGAGGGGCCAGGCCGGGAGGGGGCGACGAGAGAAGGCTGAGAGGGAGAGCGAACGGCAGGAGGGGGCGGGGACACCTGATCAGGGCCACCGGAAAGGAAAAACAACTTCAGCCAAGCTATTCATCTTCCCAAAGGCGATGCAGTCAGCTGGGGGAGGGGGAGAGGGCGCCGGGGGGTGCGGGGCAGCCAGGGCTTCCTGGTTTCGGAAATGTGACTCCTTCAGTCTGTCCGTCATTACGGCGCAGGAACGTGAACGTGGCTTTTTGCTTTTCCACCGACGGTGTTGTTGGTTTGGACCAGAGAAAGGAAAGAGAAAGAGAATTCGCGATGGACAAACTTCAGTCCTGAAGGAAAATTTGGAGATTTGTTTGCTCACCGCTCAGTGGCCTGGGGAAACCCTTAGGCCCTCGTTGGAGGTTGCCCCAAAGAGGGGCAACTTGAAATCCTCTCCCTGAAAGATTTAAGATAAATGAAATATCACTGGGTCCGAATGTCGCAATCCAAGTGTCTTTTGACGACATAGTGTCCCTGGGCCACCCAAAGTTCCCGCAGCAGCCGGAATTGCGGTGCCACTAATCACAGCAGCAGATGACGACGTTTGGGGCCTCTGGTGCTCTCGGAAGAACGAGGTGGGGAGGGAGGAGGAGAAGAGGGGATAGCACTAGAGGGGCTACCGCAGAAAAGCAATGCAGCATTATCACTAGCCTGCTAAACTCCGCCGCCTCTCAGCCCCTGGGGTGGCGCTGCGTGCTTCCTCTCCACTCCCCCCCGCTCCCCGCCACCCCCCTCCCCCGTGCGATAAGCGACACCGGGAGTGTGCAGAACCCACGTTTACTACCGCTGGCACCTCCAAAGCCTCCCTCCTTAATCCTGTCTCAAACGGGTACCAGCACAGGGCCAGCAACGTGATCCGACCTGCCGTTGCTGCCACATCACTGCGCGGGGAACCCGTGTGCGCGCACGAGCGCGCGCTCGCCTTTTAGCCGCGGCGACAATCTCGGGGAAGCACTAGCCAGCGGTAGCTCGGCCACTTTTCCTCCAGAACCATCCTTGGAGCATGACTCACTGCTAGTGAGAGTTACTGGGAGGTGTCTCTGGCACTGCTGCCCATCACAGCCAGCAGCAAGGGGCCTTGGAGGCCAGGGGCAAGCATGTCCTGCGGGACTCCCAGGTCTCCGACCCCGCTGCCGCTACTCGGGTCTGCCGGAAAGGGGGGTGGTGGGGTGGGATGGAGAAAATATATATTAATTTCCCTGTATATAGATAGCTATAAAACCTAAGGTCTTTCCTTCCTGCACCAAGAGTAAAATTTACGTTCTCCCAAGTTAGCCACGAAACATTCATTATGGCCAGTGGCACGTGAACCAAAGGGAGAAGTATGCCGAATGCACACGCACTGGGGCGCAGCAGGGACTGGGGCCATCGCTACGTGTCCCCTGGCCCGCCCCGCCGGGCGCGGGTTCCGGGGACGGATCTGGGTCGCGGGAAGCGGCGGCTGGGAAGAGGTCACGTGTCTGCGGGAGTCGGGTCTCCTCCCGGCCTCCGGGAGCCGCCCGGCCGCGGCCGCGCTGCGCGCTGCCGCAGTCTCCCGAGTCCGGGGCGGAGACGCGCGCGGCGTCTGGCTTCGTGACTCCCGCAGCGGCGGCGGCAGCCCAAGCTCACCCTGGCGTGAGGAGACGCTCGCGGTCCATCCACTTTGTCTGTTCAGAAGGCCTTTGAGGTCGCTCGACTTCCTCAAATAGGGGCACGTATTTTGTACCGAACAGACAATTTAATAATGATAATACTTAAAAAGTATGTTTAAATATGATTTTATTTGAAACCTCGATCCAGCCTCTCATTTCCAAGTGATTGAGTGATGAATTCCTTTTGGTGGGGAGGACAATTTGGAGCCCTAAGAGCGATATATCTCTGCAGCACTGTGTCATTTTGTCCTCTGGTTCTAAATTGGCCAATAAAAAGCCTAGGGTTGGGATGGGGGAGACCGTGAAGGGGGATGCTGGTAAGATGAATAATTTAAAAATTAAAATACCAGCTTTCCTTAGAGGTTTCTGAATATTTGGAGAAGGAAGAGGTTGTAAATATTTTCTCCAGAGCGAAATTTTCACTTGAAAAGATGGATGGAGTATTTAGTGAAAATAAAATGAAGACTGGATCACTGCATCTGCGCTTTGTCGGGTAGAGTAGACAAGACACAAGGCAGACATCTGATCCGGGCAAACCTTAGGGACTGTCTAGGGGCAGACACAGTAGCAAGTTAAAACAGGAGAAATAGAAAAAAACCTAGTGCGTCGGATGTGTTAATTTTGGATGCAAACTTCCCATAATTTAAAAGCGCAGGCCTGTTGCTGCAAATGAAGCCTTTTGTTACCACGTATATCTCCTCTTTCCCCCACCCACTCTGTACTGTTTCCCTACTTCTGTATCCAACATTTTTCCTTTTTCTAATATCCCCCTTAAGCTGAAAATGGAGTCTTTTCTAATTTTTAGCCTCCTTTGCTATTCTAGTACTGCTTTCCTTTTTCTTCTTTTTTTTCATGCCCACTTTTTTACTCGTCTCCCTTTTTCTTCTTTCTTTTTTCCCTTATGTTTTTCTCTTATTAATTTTCTCTGTTAACTGTCTGCTGTTGCTCTTCCCCTGTAGTTTTTGTTCTCTTGCTATTTTTTTTTTCTTTAATCTTTCACCTCAATGACTCTCCTTGCTTATCCACTTCCCTTAAACTTGAGTCCTACTCCTTTCTCAAACTCATGCCTTCTGGAATATCAGGCATAGTTTAATGCCTCTAAATTTCCCTTTGCTACAAGGAGGGTATAACAATAACTGACTATATAGCATTTACAATTAGAGCACCAGACTCCATTCTAAGGGCTTTTCATGTATTCATTAATTATTTCCACAACCTGTAAGGTATGTACTAATATTGTTTCCATTCTGCATATGAGAAAATAAATGTATAGGGAGATTACAAAATGTGCCCATGGTCCCAGAGCCAGTATTTAAGTACTGACAGTGGGCTCCAGGGTCTGTGCCTTTAACTACTATCCCTTGTTGTGAAAAGTGAGGGTTAAAGGTTAAATGTTAATTAGCTGCTTAAGGGTTTTTTAAAAAATTTACCAGTGTGAATGTTCAGCTGTGTGTGTTCACATGCACACGCAATTTGGAGAAGAGATGGGGAATGGAGAGATGTTAGCATTGGAGCTGATGGCAGAGAAAGAAAAAAGTATGAGAAAAAGAAAGGTGGCAGCCTTTCGTCAGTGAGTGATTCATTTGGCATCTAGCTCCAAATTGATTGATTTAAACCCAAATATCTTAATTAATTGTTATATTTTTATATAGAGGGACAAATGGAAATAGTTTAGAAAAGGCTAATGGTGACCAGCTGGTCACCAATTCCGCTGAGCAAACCAAGCCAAACTCTAATGTGAAGGCTCAGGTTAGTAATAGGAAAAGTTCACCTGTGGTGAAGTTAGAAAGGGAAAAAAAATTCCCCTGTCTCACAAAGGAACAGAAGACTAGAATGCCCTCTTTGGTTGGGTATGTTTAAAAATAGGTTGAGTCTTATCTTTTTAGGAAGGTTTAATGCTGTCCTGAAAAGGAGATACAAGATGAGCTCAGAGCTCCTCTGAGCCTATAATTAAAGAATTCTGTGATGCCTTGCTTTCAATTAAAGATACCCATCTTTTTTCTTTTAATAGGTGAGAGGGAAACAGCTTCTATTGCTTTTCTTTGGTCAGGTAGGGAAATCATTATCTATAGAGACTCTAATGAAAGAGAACACTTATCCCAGTTCCCACCTTCCTCCTCCCTCCCCCAACCCCACCTAAGTATTCTAAGCCCTACACTCATTATATTCACCTAGTGACTTTGGAAAGTCTTATCATGTTTGCTTGCAAAGTCTTGGATTTCCAACAGAAACAGAACTCTCCTGAGAGGATTATAGTTTCCACAGAGAAGAGAGGTATTTTTGCCTCTTTGGGGTTCTGTAAGCCCCACTGCTATTCTGGAACAATGAGGTTAACTGGAATGTTTTGGGACCCCTGGTCTGATCCAAACTGACTATGCATCTCTAATGGCCTTGAAGGCCCCAGATCTGCCTAGGGATGTGGAGCCTCTAGCCTGTACTGCTGTGAAAATGTCCTCTCAGATGGGCAGATGCCTTTTTAAATCACCTCTGTTTGGGATGGTGGACAAGAATTTGACATCATTTTACATCAAAAATGGGAATGTACCCCATTAAGCAGAATTCATAAAAATCTAAAAGTTTAAAGTCGATGCTAAAATCAAGGTGGTATGAGGATGGGGGTAGGCTGATGGGGGTGATAGATCAGGGATGTATGAAATCTTCTTTGGGAATCCCTTCTCTGGGCAAGCATCTCAGGGGAGAAAGATTAGTGTTGCTAGTTCACTGCTCTCAGGGGAGAAAGATTAGTGTTGTCCGGCACACCACTGGAAGAAGGCCGCCTCATACAAGGATCTTAGGAAGGAGGGAAACCTCACTGCTACTCACCAGAGGACAAATATGACTTGAAAATATTGATAATACTATTTGCTGAAGGTACTAGATTTAAAATCCCAGAATAGAAGGTTGAAATTTTCAGTCGTGTACTACTATTTAATTTGTAAAATAACTTCTCTTTCTGTAGATTACCAATTAATGTCTTTGTGGCTGTAAACATACATATGATTCACTTTTATATTTATGTAAAACTGCTCAAGTAGTTTATATACTTTTAGTCTTTGCATAGCACCAAGGAACAAGTAATATTAAGTATAGGAAATGAATTTTGTTACTGCCAAAATCATGTGTTTTTAAATTTATGTAATTATCACAAACACACACATGGGTGGTCCTTAATTTAACATATGCTCAAAGTTCCTGGAGTTCTTACATAAAAAAGACGGCTAGGAGAGAGCCAAGCTGAAGACCACTAGGAGTGGAGGGGTGGGGGCCTCTTTGGCTTCTCGCTCCCTAAGTATCTGCTTGATCCCTCCTGGTACCCATGCACTTCTCATACTGACTGAAGATCCAGAAAGAGACTAGGAAAGTAGAATGAGGAGCACATGACAAATCCATAAAGATTTCCACAAAGTGGCTACATAAAGAGGGGTCTTTTAACTCTCGTGTTTCCCTTGTTACTGCTGATGAAAATCCTTAGAGTCGTCGAAGAGATTCATGCTTATGTATTATGAAACACAAATAGGAATAAAGCATACTAAACAGCCACTTATCTCCTCTTTTCATTATGGGCATGGTCCTCAAATCAATTTTCAGATGGTGTTCACCCAGTCCTGAGAGCTATCTATAACAGAATCTGGTAATTTATAAAGGCAACAATAAGACTAGTTAAGGAAGATTTAACCAGCACTTAGAATTATTGGTATATATTTTATTTAACAGTTAACTTAAAACTAGAATTCATATATAATCGATAAAGGCAATATCGTTCTGATACTAACTTATGATCCTTTTTCACAGGAAACTAATGGGAATTTAGGTTAGGTGTACATATCAGTTAAGAACTGTATTTGAGCCAAAGTAATAGCAGCTTAAGAATTTCTTTTTCAGTCACATTAAAAAATCTGGAGGAAAGATGCCCAGAGGTAAGGCGATGTAATAATAGTGCTGTCAGTTCTGCTTTTCTGCTCACTTTCTACCAGCTTCCGCCCACCCTCAAGATTGCCTCATGATCATAAGATGGCTGCTGAAGCTCCTGCAGGAAAGGATAAAAGGGTGCCTACTAGCTGAACAAGTCCCCTCTAAAGAAC